TTGGGCTTATTATCCGGGGAGGTCTTATTTTCAAAGAAAGAGGGTACTACGTAAGTAACAATTTAACATCATTCAAAATATACCAATCATATCACCTGTGTTCTCTATGCCACTGATAGATAGTATTTAATTTAATGGAAACCTAAAAATTTTAAAAATGCAACTACAAAAATTATCAGGTAACTTAGTTGGTTTTGTTTTTACCTTTGGTTGCCAAGCATTTGTTCGCCCTTTCAAATTGAGTCGTGCAAGGGATGGTTCCCATGAACTCCACCAAGTCTTCTTATAAGAAGAGGCTGTAATCGCTGAATTCTCGATAGCCCAACTTTCCATTCCCAAAGGCATAGAACACCCTGTTTTAAGTACATATCCTTGTTAGATTTTTCTAATGCTATCATATTCAAGAAAAGATACCAGCAGGCTTGGAATTATATTTCTACAGATGGTTTGGTAACTTAATCTCCCCCCCCCCCCGCTAATATTCATCCCTTGTATAAAATCTCATTTCTCTTGCACTTCCAATCTTTTTGATAACATTAAACTCAACTTTCATCTGTTTCTCCTCATTTGATGATATGTGCCAAATGTCTGTTTATGCCTTACCTTCAACTTCACAACCCAGCAGTTCAATGCGGAACGTTGGTCTGTTGTAGAACTTGGTTGGATGCAGCCTAATATATCTGGCAATAATAGGAGGATCAATGTGGTTTTCTTTTACTTTGGTACCATCTGAATTACCCTCAAAATGCTGAGGAAAAAAAAGTCCACATTCTATAAATTATGTCTCACATTTTAAAATAAAAATATTTGAATCTGGAAAATTAAAGTGACTTTTGAGCCTGTTCACTCTTTAGCAATTATTGGTTTTCAGTGAGATTGCACATCAAAAGAAGCACTGAATTATTTTGGTGAGAACTGAGGATCAGAAAGTTTCTTTCATATTGCAAGTGTCCTGCTACTTTTATTTGCCTTATTTTCTTGGTGTTTTTAATAGGGTTATAGCCAGTGGTGGGTTCCGGCAGCTACTACTGCCGGTTCACTCAGGGACGCGCCCCATACATGCCCACTTGATGTACACTGCATGTGCATGCTCAGTACAACAAGCCAAAAACAAGATGGCGCTGCCTACGATGCTACTGGGAGAACCAGTTAAGGAGCATGGCAGGCCTGGGTCATTG